CGTTCAGCAGATTTATTTTTAGTTCAAAACATTCTAATTTGATGTCAAAGATGACAGGAATAAAAAATAGTTATGTTCAGATTTTTAAGAAATTTGCATAAAATACTCGCCAGCACTGTTATACGAAATTCGGTAAAAAAACCCAAAATCGCCATATTCAGGTGTCCTAAAAACCATGTTAAAATTGAGTTAGAGATCTGAAATTTTTCAGGGCGTCTAGACGTTGACCAAATTGACTGCAAAAAAAGTTTCAGGTTTCAGGAGCATCGGGAAATGGGTTTTCTAGAACCCCTGTTTTACGACAGATTGTCGGGACATATACAGATAGATATACATATATATTCAGGGATAGACGCTTTGCCAGTCAATTGTAGCCTGTATTTAAGTGTCCATAGATTCAAAAGTATAAAAGATACAGCCATTTCCGACCACAGGTCTTGCAAATAATTGTTTACACTTTAGTTTACATTGTATAAAAAATTTATTTGACGTCATAAACACCCCTTGATGACGTCATCAAGTTAACCGTTTTTAAAACTTGATTTTTGACAAAGTAATAACTTTTAAAATTAATTTTAACCCATTAAGGAGTAATTTTATTCAAAATCTGAGGAAATTTTCATCTTAGATAATTGTTCAAGCATTCTGAAAATCTACCGGAAAGTTTTTCTAGCTTGCTCCTTCATAAAGATATTTGTCATTGAAGTTTGTGCTTTTTTGAAGAATTATTTTATAAAAACGTCAATTTTGCGATTTAGTATTCTTTGGTGTTGGGCCATGCCTTGGGTTGTGGAGCTCAGTTCTGCTTCCTATAGGTATAAATTGTGCATTAGGCTAGTTTTAAAGTTGAAAATCGAAAAGTTGCACACGTGGGGACACGCCCAAATTTATAGAAAATTGCTAAAATCACTGAAAATTGCTGTTTTCGTCATTTTCTGTCAACTTTAGAGTGCCGTTGTGATTACAGTTCTTCTTGAAATACTTTGAAACTTTGCATGCTTATCAAGCTATATATAAAACAATTACATGCAAAAATTTACGGCGATTCAATATTGGATGCGCATGCAACGTCCGCTCAAAGTTTGCACGTGCGAAAGGTGAGAATTTTGCTCATTCGTGATTTCCAACAAATTCTGCTTTGCCACGACAGTTTAATGTCATTATATATGAATTTAATGTCAACTTGAATGAGTATTAAGTGGTATATTCAGTCAGTGATGGACCGATATGCTTACCTAAACACAAGGAAATGTTTTTAAAGGAAAAATTTCGAAATCGTTGAAACTTCCTCCTTATTATAATGAAGATATCAGTTTACATTTCGACTTTATAAAGTACCCTGACATTATAATCAAAAAGAGATGATATTTTACCAAAACCCATAATCATGGGTAGAGTGGACCGCTGCCAGTGTCTCTCTTTCCCAAACAAAAGGAAATGATATTAATTTGATTGACCGTTCTCAAATGCAAAATGATACCGAGAATGAAATCGGTCGCTCGCTTTTCCCATTCATTTACAATTGTAATAGATTAAGAAGAACTACCCAAAGGCAGCTGTACTCGGCAATAAAGATTCAATAAACTTCAGCTAATGCAATAAGTGATAACTACCACCCTTACCGCGAAATACTAGGTATCGACCCGAACGCAACCCAAAGAGATTTTTACAGCATCTGATTGACATGTAATCAATCGAAAATTATTACAATTCGTAAGCCGTGAATGAATGGGAAAAGCGAGCGACCGATTTCATTCTCGGTATCATTTTGCATTTGAGAACGGTCAATCAAATTAATATCATTTCCTTTTGTTTGGGAAAGAGAGACACTGGCAGCGGTCCACTCTACCCATGATTATGGGTTTTGGTAAAATACCTCAATACACATTACAGTGAACGTAACCTGCAATGCGATCCTGAGGGCTATAATTATGAGAAGGTGTTGTCACGTGATCTCCCTCACATGACTACTATCGAGTCACCATTTAGTATGAATCAGCAATTAAACTACTGTGCTTACATATGCAGAATGATGGATGAGCACATATAATTGCCTGCTTCATAGTTTGTTCACCCAATATATTCACCCAATGTTATTGTTACTATCAAAGCTGTGTTAGGACCATTTTCAAAAATATTTCGCCATCTATACTGTCACAATGTAAGTTTTACAATGGTACAACCTCCATAAAAATCTAAAAAAATCGGATAAAAACAACCACACTATCATTCCGCCTAATCTCTATTCTTTATGTTTATGAACATGATAGCCTGAGGTCCCCAGGTAATAATTGACGATGTCAATTCATCGCAGCTCGGCTTTTAATGATAACTTAAGTTATTCGTGTCAGAAGTTCACAAACATTTTAAAGAATATAGATACGTTTATAAACTGAAACACATTTGGTTTGATAATTAAAGTGATTTCCCCAACTTTCAATTTGATTGTTTACAATTAAGCCGAGTTTATATGATCAGTTTAACTTTAAGATCTGGTGGATACTTGCAATTCCAACACTTAATCAGTGATCTCCTCACTCAATCAACCCTATGATTGGTTCGAGACTGCTTATAGGGCACCAACCGAAGCGATATACCGCGAACATTTTTGATTTTAAGGAAAGTCACTATTAGAGTTTGGCGGCCAGCTCAGAAAGCTAAAGATCAAAGCCTTTTCGTCTCTCTTGAAAAACACGTGCAAAAACCGAGGACGGGGATACGATAAAACAAGCTGTTTGTCGACAGTAGTGATCCTTGCAGTTGCACCCGGGCACCGCATCCAGTCCTGAAGAAGGCGTACTTCCAGCTGACTCCCTTTATAAATATATATATATATATATATATATAGCTCACCCACACATATATATATGTGTGGGTGAGCTAACGAGCTCGTTAATCATTAATGGGAAAGAGATCACATCATTGTGGGCACTTACTCGTCGAAACACGTCATCGGGTTCGGATAGCATGCCCATGTTACGAGTAATACGGTGCACGCACGGGTTGCATCACTCGGCTCCCCCTGTATAGTGAAGCGACAGTGGGGGTCACCACGTGATACAAACTGGTTGCATGGCTTAATTCATGGCTTTAGGCGTTATGCCATCATATCCGTTCAGTTAGGCCAAGAGACCTAGAATCGCCGATTACTGATTACTATATTAGCTTATTAGTATACTACTAGCTTAGTACTACTATACTAGGACAAATATACCTTATCGGACGGACATTAAATGAACGGACATAATTATGAACGGACATTAATATGAACGCTAGAAGGCATTCAAAACCATCAAATAATTTTTGACGTTTTTTTATTTCAACAAATGATTTTTAAATCCATTTTTATACAGTAAGTAAGAAAAGCAGTCGTTATAAGCAGTAAATATGTTAAAATATGTGTACATGATCAGTGTCTAATATCATTATCACATATCATTTTCATCAATTGGGTTTTCGTGCATGAAATAGTCCATGCTTAAAGCATCAGTGATTTCTACATTCTAGCTTATATTAATGGAAATCTTTTTTATTATCAAACTGAAATTACTACCCCGGTCCTGCATTTCAGTGTTAACTTTTACAAGTCATTCGGCGTGAAGTGGTTTTATCTTAGACAACTTTAGGTTAACCTAGGTTAACAGCTTAACATCACGTGGAGCTTTCCTAGCACTGTTTCATTACCTCCCCTGCGTAATATGAGCAATAACGACGTCGGACAATGTCCTTGGCAACACGATTTACCGTAATATCTCTGGAACAAGTTTGTCATGTTGTCGGCGCGGCCGGGGGGACTAGCTCATGAACTATGTAAATGTTGTTGAATGCCATAATTTCGTTGACTTTTTCCGCCAAGTGACCCTTGAAAACATTATATACTAGTAGTAGTAAAGTTTTCTGTGCCTCCGGCAGACCAAGGAGAACCTTATTAGTTGCATTGTCATATTCTGGACAAAAACTTCGAAGTGGAAAAATTTTTGAAAAAAATTCAACGGACTTTAACTTGGAGTTGGACGGACCTTAAAATTAAATGAACGGACTTCATTTGAACGGACATTAAGATGGACGTTAGGGCCTCCAGCGTTCAATTAATGTCCGTCCAAATAAGGTCCGATAAGGTAATCTGTAATCACTCCTCAGTCACAATCACATTCAGTCTGCATTCAATTTACAATTACATAACAGTAAGTTAAACTTAAAGTACTTAAGTTTTATAATAAGTATAACACCATGATCACTATGACTTTGATTCTAGAGTTCAGAAAAAGAGTAAAACACTTATAGTTATTAAAAAATCACCAAACATTTTCAAAATTTGTTTGGAAATTTTTGGGCGGTCATAAGCGTAAATAATTGTGTCCCTGGGCCCCAGATTATTTGCCCATGTTTAATCATAATTTTATTCTTCATCTCTTGATCATCTGAAATTGAATTTTGAATGAAACTTTCAGATGATCACTATCAGACGGAAAAAGTCGCGATTTTACATAAATGCCACGCTGTCGTACTGAGTACTCGTACGCCGGGGGACCGGGGGTGGTACCGGTGGCGTGCGGAGTGGTCAAATTGACCGCGGGCGGCGGCGTTCGGCGTTGGCGGACAAGCCTGCTGAAAGTGAAAGTAAGACTAAGAGTAGTAGTACATAATATATAGCACTTTTTGATGTATAATATTAGTATATACTATTACTAGCATAGCTACGTGTACTTTAAATTTCTGGTGACGTGTCAGAATTTCTTTTTTTGCTGGCCATCATCCATCACTGCAAAGTTGTGTCATTTTAATGTAAGTTTGTTATTTGCTCTACACATGTGTAAGGAGGAACTACATGATCGATCTAATAAGAGTGTTTATCCTGTCACCTGTGTAGTGGCCCGCTAATTTGATAACATTGTTTGGCTGTAATTTGATACTGATCTACTGACTTATTACTGACTTGTTTTATGCACTTTGTTTTAAAATCGTTGTATGTTGTAGCAAACCTTCTTAATCTCCAACATTCCGAGATTTTAATATCTAAAACGCAACTTATATCAATCAATAGCGATAGTCAATACATTTTAGTCGTTTATGATGAGATTTAGCAAGTTTTTCTGCTACGGATGCACAATATGTTTCTTGCTAGTTATATTCGGGTTCATATGTTTTTCTCTTGGGTCTTCTCAAGTTAACAATAACATACCATGTACAGTAAGTGTCATTAAAATATTGTGTATTATGTAATTGTACGTACTTGTAGGATTTAAAAACTAAATTTTGCTTTCGCTGGCTTGTAGCTGCATTTCGCCTTCGGGAGTACACTTAGCTTATAATATATGAATACTGGTTTAGGAAAAATCAACATTCCGTGTTGTGCCCTCTATGCAGGCTTTGCTAGCTCGATGTTTTAAAAATGGATATAAGATGTATAAATCTTTACCAAGCCTATTTAAATAGAAGTCCGAATCCAAATATTTATTATCAATATGTTGTAATATGGTATTTAGAGATATCTTATAGGATATCTTAGTTTTAGTATAACGTTTACGGGACGTAGAATTTAGTATGTGTTTCCGGGTATATATATTAACCAATGTTTTTATATGTTCGTATTTGGGAGTTACACATTTTGAGTGTAAGTCGGTTGGCTGGCAGAACTACTGTCAGACTAACTGTCTGTAACGAGCCGTCCGCTCACTTTGCACCTGACTAACAGCCAGACCTGTGGTTGGTCCTCGCGGACACAGGGTGACTGCTAGTGGAGTGCTCATTGGCGAGACAGCGTGTCACGTGGTGCAAGCAGATGCGTTGTGCCGTCACGCAGTGTGGCGTGACGTAGATTTTGAGAGTATACCCGGAGAGCCGGAAGTGGAGAGCGGACTTCTTAGTTGCCCCTTAATCATTTTAAGGGATTCAAATTGACGGTAGCCAGTCTTACTGAGCACTACCATTTGTGATTAGACACGTCGAGTGATCTATTAGTCACGTCAATTGATTGGAGCGAACACTTAGAAGTTTTTATCTGTTGACGTTCACTTTGTATTACTTTTCCATTTAATTAATTATCCATTTTAATATACTCGTTTCATTTCTACCTTACGGTACGCCCTGCCGTTCGTGCTTCGTGACTAGAGCTTGACTAGCATACACTAAATACCTAAGAAACCAAGTTTTCTATATCTGGAGGCCACGGTGGGCCTCCAGATATAGAGCGGATAAGGGAGGTAATAGAAGGTGAAAGGGGAATACAAAATCAAAACATAAATCTAAAAATATTATTCAAGTAACAAATTTGAAGTTAAACAATGAAACTCGTGAATCACAATAAATAAATACAATAAAATATCAAAACAGAAAGAAGGAATCCTCAGAAAGTCCTCTCCATGTTTCTGAGGTTCACCAGGCTGTCCAGTGCCCGTTGAAGTCGCGTGTTGGACGAATTCTCGCGAATCTCGCCCATCCTGCGGATTGCCGTGCTGAATCTAACCGCGACTGCTCGCCTGTTGGCGATCTTCGCCCACTGGTACTCTCGAGAGTTCTGGAAAACTGCCCTTCTTCTCCCACAGATGGTCGTGCTGCTGGACATCAACTTGTCACGTATCACCCTCATCTGTTTCAGTACCTCCTGTGCATCCTTATTCTTCAAAAAGTTCCCTACAGTCTCATCCACCAACTGCTTTACCCACTCATTGAGACTAGGGTATTGGAGGAGTAGGTTGATGGCTCCCTTCGTGGCAGGGAAGGTGGCTGTGTCCAAATGCTCCCAGTTCGGCATCTTGAGGGGGGTTTTGCCGCTTGATCGAATCTCCTTGCGTCGCTGAAGCTTCTCGATCCTCCTTGTGATGCGATCCAGTTTCCGCCTGAGTCTCGCCTTCTCCTCCTCTATCTTCTCCATCCTTATCTTCTGATCGTCCGTGAAATCCAAACCTTCAAACTCGGGGCTGCTCATGGTCTGGAGGGGGAAACTAGGATTAGTGGCTAAAAAAAAAACTAAAATAAAGCTAAGAAAACTATTTATCTAAAAGTAGAAAACCAAACTGCTTACTAGTAAAATGTAAAAGGATCAACGTGAAAGGAGTTGAAATAACTAAAACTAAAAGAAATTATCGAAATATCAAAATGGCAGCCCTGAACGGTTCGTGTTGCGAGGCACAAACCTAATATCCCTATCAGTACTGTTCTGAAAGATACACGTGTTAAGCCTAAGTAAGGTACTAATATCACCGCTAAGTACTAAGAGGAAAGCCTAGGTAAGTGCGTGAGATATTACTGTACTAGACTAGATTCCAAGGTATTAGTTACTTCCCTAACCGGGCATCTCCCCGACTTCTACTGGTTCAAGAGCTTCATAAGAACATCCGTAACAAGTCTAACTTTATCGATTCCTAGACGTTCAGGTTCTCTCCGTTCCTCAGGTCTCCTAGTGTTATATCTGCGCTCCTCCCTCGGAGGGCTCTGTCTCCCTAGATCTATAGGAGAAAGCGATCCTGTTGTGTCAATGTCGTGCTCCTCAGCATCATGTGACCTAAAACTGTTAGCACCTATCGTTCCTTCACTAACAATCGGACTCGATGATCTTCTAGCGGCCGATCTCTCTCTAGCTGGAGTAAAGAACTCTGCAGAATTATCAACTGTTTCTACACTATCGCCTGAGGGAATGTTATGTGTGAGAGGTGTTACAGTACTAAAACTAGGATTAGTAGAATTCATATCTAGTTGTACAGGACTATTTACAACCCTAGGAGTGGAACTTAAACTAGGTTGTTTATAAATGCTAGCTGCACCATCCCTCTCCGGACGAAACCTCTTCGGATGAACCTCTCTTCTCCTTGCTACAACTGGTGCTCTTCTCAGTTGAAAATCTATCTCCTCTTCACTGTCACTATCGGAATAATCTACAAATCGGTCCGATGATTCCATTTTCAACTCAGCTTCCTTGCTCACAGTTTTCGGCACTGTAGGACTAGTCTCTAGTTTTTTAGAAAATCTGTTCCTGACATACCGTTTTAACTTACCAATGTTAAACACCTTCCTTTCTCCATCAGGCAAATCTAAACAGTACAAGTGATCGTTTATCTTCTTAGAGATCTTATACGGGCCAACCCAACGAGGACCGAACTTGTGCTTTGGACAATTTATCAAAACAAAAGCTTCCTCACCTTCCTCAAAGAATGGTCCCTTCACGTGCTTATCGTGATATCTCTGTGCATAGCAAAAATCACGCTCAGCTTGGACCCTCACCTTCCTGGTGATAAACTTGAGATTCTTGTACAGCTCGTATGCTTCAACATCAAACTCATTCTCCTTCATAGGCTCTAGCTCGAAATCCTTACGATTCTCAGCTAGCAGGCTTAACGGTGTGTTTAACTCACGACCAAACACCAATCTGTTGCTAGAATAACCTGTGTGCCGATTCCGCAATGAGTTAAGTACAAAGACTACTCTTGATAACCAAAGATCCCAGTCCTGGTACCGTCCTGGTGGTAAGCTGGTTCTCAGGGCAGTATTCAACCGACGGTTCGCTCTTTCAACTCTTCCAGTACTTCGAGAAACGTACGGTTGGCCATGAATGTATTTGCAATCTAGGGCTTGAGCTATGGTCTCGAAATAATTAGCTCTAAAACCCGGATGATTATCAGCCATCATGAATCTAGGCTGGCCAAAACGATCAATCCAAAACCTACGAATCAAAGACACGCTCTCCTTAGCTGTCTGGGTCTTAGTAGGAATAGCTACCACATAATTTGACCAACAATCGGTTATAGTCAAAATATACTTGTAACCTCTAGGTGTAGCACCAACCTTCTCAGGAACTATATGATCGAAACAAATTGCTGAGTTAAAGGAGTGGAATAATATGTGCTTGAGGGGTGCCTTATTGTACGCCTGAGGTGGCTTACTTGCTGCACACCTGCAACATGCTGCGATCCATAACTTGAAACATTCACCCATTTTCGGCCAGTAGAAATGTCGTTTACAGACCTCAAGACAATTTTCTACTCCAGCATGTGCGGTCTCCTGGTTGTGCACCATGTCCAGGACAGATTCATGCAAGGATTCGGGGACTATGATCAACTCTCTACTTCCCTCCGGATCCCTCACTTCAGTCCAACGTCTCTTAAGTATCCCGTCCTTGATACTTATAAGATCAAACTGTTTCCAATAACTCAACAGTTCCTGAGGTATTTTACTAGTCTGAATGGCAACAGGTTTCTCACCCTTGGTAACCCAACTGTAGACCTGGTTTAAAATATCATCATCCTTCTGAGCCTGTTTAATCTGCTCATTGGTAGGATTAAGAAATTTGACCCCTCTCTCTAGTGAGCTTACATCACTAGTAACCGCTGAAACCATCTCCACTACTGATGCTTCCTCTGTAGGAATAGGATCAGCCTGGGTCAGACTACAATTGCAATGACGGCTATCAACCTCAGGCGTAATCTGAACAATGCTTACAATACTCGGGTCTTCACTATTTTCATCAAACAAGAACCCCGGAATCATACTGTCCTCAACACTCACCTCATTGCAAGATTCCTCAATCAGATTACTGCAATCATCATCAACCACAGTCTCGCTGCTAACCGGTACTTGCATCCTCTTAAACAGTATCGGGTGTTTACATCTATAATGCTCACGTCTCACCCGGTTTACTCCTTCTAACGCAGCATCAAGACTAAAAGTGGAACTATGACCAATGCTCGCAACATTTTCTCGAGATTTACCATAAACCTGATACTTATACCGACTAAGTCCATCACACATCTGGTTACTCTTCCCCGAGATATGCTTCATGGTAAAAGTATAGTTAGCAAGCTCTTGAAGCTTCCTGATGACCGAAGATGACATTTTAGAAAATATTGTCGTGATATTCAAGAGTGGCAGACAATCTGTGATAACCGTGAAGTTTTTAACGCCACGTAAGTAAACCGAGAAATGTTTCAGAGTCTGATATAAAGTCTCAAATTCAATCTGAGTTTGCGGCCATATCCGCTTGTGGTCCGGAACCTTACGAGAAAAGTACGCAATTACCCTCCTCTTACCCTTGATCCACTGAGTCAAAGTACCACCAAATGCGTGTTTAGAACCATCCAAAGTTACCTCATAACTATTTTCCGGATCACTAACCTCCGGAAATGCTAGGACAGGACTAGATATCAACATGTCACGTAACTTCTGAAATGCAATCTGGCAATCCTCGGTCCACTCGA